CTGTCAGGGTCGAGGCCAGCGTAATGCAGGGACACGCTGAGCGCTTGGAGCGCCCTGAGTAGTGTCAGCCTCCCAGGCCAGCTGGCCCCAGCCTGCATTCCGCACACCTACCCACCCACCTGAAGGGCCGGGGTCTCCCCCAGGAACCACAGGCCTGAGCTGTCCCGGCCCCGCCCCCAGCTGCCACCCACCTGTGGCTTCGCTCAGCTGCTGCGCCTTGCGTTGGGTGGGGGGAGGCGGCGGTCCTGGGTCCCGCGCAGCGAGGTGACCGCGCCCCCGGCTTTCCGGGCGCGGGGTCTGGGCACCTCGGAGCTCGCGAGGCTCCCCTGCCGCGGGCTTCGGCGACTCCGGAACGCGGGGCTCGGCTGCGGGCCCGGCGCAGCTGCGAGCGAGGCGGCAGCGCAGGGGCCAGCTCTGCGCCCGGCGCGGGAAACCGCCCACCAAGCCGTATTCCTCCGAATGTGGCCGCGCGCCCGCGTCCCCGCAGTCCGGCAGGGGCGGGGCCTCCCGGAACTGGCCAAGGGTGGCGAATCGGGGGCGGGGTTCCTAATATAAATAGGGCGGGGTCTGCACGTAGGACCGGACTGGGAGCGGGGTTGGATGACGGGCGGGGCTCCTGGTTAAAATAAGGTGGAGCCTGAAGAAGGGGCGGGGCTGGCAGGAGAGGCAGGACTTTGTTGGTCGGGGCCTGGGGGGGGGGGGGCGGGGGGCGGTAGTATTGGATCAATTGCCTGGCACAAGGAGGGGACGCTGAGAGGGTTAGGGGAACCCACTCGTACAGCCAGGGGCGGATCCAGCTGTGTGGGACGGGTCTTGGGCTCTGGGCTGAACCTCCTGATACCAACTTGTAACGCCTGTGGTCCTGAGCAGGACCCCACAGCACTGATCTGGGCCTCTGGTTCTAGACTGAGTGGAATACAGACTGGATGGGGAGCTGAGGGGCGGGGTTTGTGGCACTGAACCCAGCTGAGGCAAACTGTACCACTTCCGGTCTGGGTACGGTGGGGGGGAGGGCCTCACCTCTGAGGAGCGTAGTAGTTATGATTGGAGTTGGGAACTGAGTCCCAATCTGCTTCTAAATGACTTTCTCCATCTTGGGTTCTCATGGCCCTCAGCAGGTGAATGGCAGTATGGGTGTGTGGCTCTCCACGACACAACCGTAACAAGCCGATCGTGGTGGCGGCGCACACCTTTAATCCCAGCACTCAGGAAGCAGCCGCAGGCGGATCTGTGAGTGAGGCCAGCCTGGTCTACAGAGTGAGTTACAGGGCTATACAGAGAAACCCTGTCTCAAACCAACAAAACAAAAATAACAAAAACCTGTGGCAGGAAATCTACAGGGGAATGGAAGAAACTGCCATTGGCCATGGCAGATAAAGAGGCCTGGCAAGGTAAAGCCAGGGCTCAAACTACGCTCACCTACTGGGTCACAGTGCCTAGGAGCCAGGCTGCCTTGGTCTGCTCAGCTGGAGCTTGGATCTTGTGGCCATACGCACTTGCTGCCATGTGTCCCTAAACTCCCTATCCCTCTGCCACCCCAGTGATTCCACAGGCCACATTTGTCCACAGCTGAGAGTCCTGGAGAGTCTAAGAGATGTTGGCTGGAATTTTTTCTCAAGTTCTGCAGGTGATCAAGCATCTTAGCGAAGGGCACTGACAACCCTCGCAGCAAAGGACTCCAGCAGCTGGCTCCAACAGCTGAGCCCAGCGGCTGTCCCCTGCACCCTGTTATGTTTGGAAGCTTAGAAATGGAAGCCATGGGGAAAGTTATCTGGAAGTGGGTCTCCACCCCTACCCTATTGGCCCCCATGAACCCCACCCTGCCGGGAGGGAGCCCAACCCTTCCAGCTGGCAGATGGCGACCAGGAGCCTCTTGGTCAACAAAGCCGTCTGCCTCTTTCTGAGCAGAACCACTGGCCGAGGCAGATGTGGCCAACCCCCTTCTATCTAGGACTCAGGCTCAGTTCATGCTGGAGAGAGCTCCTAGAGCAGGTGGTATTGATCCAGCTTCTTCCTACAGTCCTGAGTCGTGCCACCTCCTGCTGGGCACAACCTTAGCCCCCAGGGTCAGTGGGAGGGGTCTTTCTCAGAGGTCTGTGTGCTATTTTGCTCCTGTCTGGGGCTAAAGAGATGGCTCAGTGCTTAAAAAGAACATTCTCTCATCGAGGATCCAGGTTCCGTTCCTAGTACCCATGACTCACAGACATACACGCGGGCAAAGCGCTCATGCACATAAAACACGGAGCAGTGCTATAGACAACACATACACATAAAACAGTGCAGTACTATAGACAACACATACACATAAAACACGGAGCAGTGCTATAGACAACACATACACATAAAACACGGAGCAGTGCTATAGACAACACATACACATAAAACACGGAGCAGTGCTATAGACAACACATACACATAAAACACGGAGCAGTGCTATAGACAACACATACACATAAAACAGTGCAGTACTATAGACAACACATACACATAAAACACGGAGCAGTGCTATAGACAACACATACACATAAAACAGTGCAGTACTATAGACAACACATACACATAAAACACGGAGCAGTGCTATAGACAACACATACACATAAAACAGTGCAGTACTATAGACAACACATACACATAAAACACGGAGCAGTACTATAGACAACACATACACATAAAACACGGAGCAGTGCTATAGACAACGAAGGTGTGGGGCTCAAGACCTGATGCCAATCTTTGTACCCACACAGCTCCAGGTCACAGGGGCCTGACGGCTCCTACCCTACAGCCTGTTCACTTAGACATGAGCAGTGCGTGGCAGGCCCACAGGAAGCTGGGCCTCCTGTCTCAGAGTAAGGGACCTATGGGCACCACAGAGGAAGAAACCCCCAGAATTCTCAGGACTGTGGCACACTCATCTGAGATCCCTCAGGGCAAGCATTTGCTGAGTAGTTGCTGTGAAGGGTAGGATGTGGGTGGAATTCCTCAGAGCCAAGCACCTGAGCTTCCTGGAGAACTGAGCCTGAGTCCTAAACAGGAGGGTTGGCCACAGCTGCCTTCACCCATGGCTCAGCTCGGTGACAGGAAGATAATGGAGCCTGGCGGCTCGGCCATCGTTGTCACCCCTCACTGATGGAGGAAGGTCATTGGTTAATTATAATAAAGAAACTGCTTGGCTGGCCCTCATAGGTTAAAACATAGGTGGGAGGAGTAAACAGAACAGAATGCTGGGAGGAAGAGGAAGTGAGCTCAGACGGACAGCTCTGCTCTCTGGAGCAGAGACACCATGCCCCGCTCCTGGGCAGACACGCGATGAAGCTCCAACCCAGGATGGACGTGGGCTAGAATCTTTCCCGGTAAGACCGGTGCTCATAGATTATTAGAGATGGGTTGATCGGGATATCAGAATTAGCCAGTAAGGGCTAGAGCTAAAGGGCCAAGCAGTGTTTAAAAGAATACAGTGTCCGTGTAATTATTTCGGGTAAAGCTAGCTATGTGGGCTGCCAGGTGCCGGGGACGCAGCCCCGCCACTCCTATCACTACACCTCACCTCGCGTGGGTCTCTGGTGGGTCACTAGCATCCACCTCCTAGCCTTCACCATGAGACCTGAGGTCCCTGTACACATCCTGAGAGGCACCAGACACGGGACTTGGGGGCGGGGGGGGGGCTGGACCTTGTAAAAACAGTGTATGAACGGATTCACCAATGACTGAATAAAGCTAGTTGAGACCTCTTTGACCCAGGTTCCAGAATCCAATTCTCAGACATTCCTGTCCCTGCCAGAGTGGCTCTTCTCACTGGAAATCAAGTTTAGGACCTCATGCCTCCTCAGTCCTGTGTCCTCCACCCCTGGGCACCATTCTGTTCCCTGGGCATGCCAGCTCCACACACACAGGCCCTCTCTGCATGTTCTCGCTCTGCCCAGAACTCTATGCCCTCCACGTTGGGATCAGCAGTGGTCTGCAACTAGGCCGTTCAGATTTCCTGGACTCTGAAACAGTCCTCTCCCTAGGTATTATCTTTAAAGTACACTTAGTGAGACTTGCTGATCAATGTCTGAGATAGTTTTTCATCCCTGCTGAAGACTGTGGTGGGAAGAATGGATGAGTTGGTATGTGGGTAGATGAGTAAGTGGATAAAAGGGTTGGTGGGTGTGGGCAGGGCTGAAGGTTGGATGGGTAATGACACGGATGGATGGGTGGGTGGATGGATGGATGGGTGGGTGTGGGTGGATGGATAGGTGGGTGGGTGGATGGATGGGTGAGTGGGTGGATGGATGGATGGATGGGTGGGTGGGTGGGTGGATGGATGGATGGATGGGTGGGTGGGCGAGTGGATGGATGGATGGATGGATGGGTGGGTGGATGGATGGGTGGGTGGGTGGATGGATGGGTGGGTGGGTGGATGGATAGATGGGTGGGTGGATGGGTGGGTGGGTGGGTGGATGGATGGATGGGTGGATGGGTGGGTGGATGGATGGATGGATGGATGGATGGGTGGGTGGCTGGATGGGTGGATGGGTGGATGGATGGGTGAGTGGGTGGGTGGATGGGTGGATGGATGGGTGAGTGGGTGGGTGGATGGATAGGTGAGTGGATAGATCGATGGTGGGTGGATGGGTGGATAGATGGGTTGGTAGACGGACAAACTGATGGTTGGATAGGGAGGTAGGTGGGTGGATGAATGGATGGGCTGATGAGTGGTGGGTGGATATGTGGCTAGATGGGCATATGAATGGGTGGATGGAAAGACAAGCGTGTGAATGGGTGTTAGGAGACGGGTGGGTGGGTGGGGATGGGAGGAAGAGAACCCTACCTCTATTGTGTCTCATGTTTGGGGCAGGTGGAGGTGTTTACTCCCACGCCCTCCCCGGCATGTACTCCAGAACACCACAGAGAAGCCCAATCCTTGCCTGTGTCCAGGGTCTGTTCCTCAGGGGGGCCCTAGCAGGTAAGCCACAGTGACTCCAAGAAGGGGCTAAGAAACATTGAGAAAGAAGCTGGCTTTATCTTGGAATAAAACCGGAGGCCTGTTGAGAGTTGGGGAATGGGGTGGGGTAGGGTGCTCCCGCCCCAGGACTCCGCACAGCTTCCTGCTCGGCCTCAGTTTCCCCCCCGGGAGCCCTGGCAGGTGCACACAGACGCGGCGGCACATGTTCAACACTGTTTAATTACAGCTGAAGGTCCGGGGAGGTGACAGTTGGAAGAGCTGACTGGATACCATACTTCAGTGAGGCTCCTCGGCCTCTAACTCACCTGGATGTCCTACCATTCCAGGCGAGCCCCAAGGCTGCTCCCCCACCAGGGGTTTGAGACTCAAAAGCACCTTGATCCCCCCAAAGGCAACAATGCATCCGGGTCCTCAGAGCCAGTCAGGGCACACACAGAGGTATGCATGTCACTCATAGACACAGCCTGATAACTCTGCCCCACTAGGGACCAAAGGCACAGGGCCTGCCATTGGGGTGTCTGTTAAAGGCGACTCGGTCAGTCTTTGGTTTATACAACCCCACCCACGTTCAGAATGGGGGCTCAGGCAGGACCAGGGGTTTGAACCCTAACTCTATCTCACTGGCCCAGCCAGCCGAGCGCAGCTGGGGAAAGGCGGCTTCCTGAGGCTCATGCGGAAGAAGAAATGACAGCCATTCTGTTTCTGGTGGTTTCAGGGTCCGAGAAAAGGGCTGTGCCCTCAAAGCCACTGCAAGGGCCTCTGGGGGTAGAAGCTGTGTTGAGAACCATCACCTGTGGACAGAAAGAAGTGACGGCAGGGTGTCCATGACAACAGCCACCGCTGTGTTCGCTGAACAGAAAAGGCCTCAGTATCCATGGGCACCCAGCTACCTGGGCCTTGGGGTTCCCCAAGCTGCTGCTGTGTACCCCAGGGCAGTATCTTAAACTCTCTGTGTAGACAGAGCTGCCAGCATCACAGCCTGTCTCAGAACTGTGCTGAGAGAATGACAGCTCTGACTGTTGGCACCTCAGTTCACTGCTTTGAGGCTGGAACAGAACCTGTCTGGGTGACATCACGGGCCCCAGCATGGTAGATAGCCGAGAGGCCCACAGGGCCTCATCCTCCATCTCACAGAGCAGTTCTGCCTGCAGCCCTGACCCCCAGGCAGGAGGCCTGAGGGGGACAGGAAGGAGACATTGCCATGGGGATGAAGAACAGCTTGACCTGACCAGCTGCTTCAGGGAAAATTCCACAGTGCCCCTCTTCTTCCCGCCACCCAGCCCCACATCCAGCTGCTACCTCCTGCCCTCCCCTACCATAGCCACCTCCCTCCTCCTGTTCTGCACAGAGATCCTGAGGGCATCACATCTTTCCCTCCTTCCCAGTCAGCCCTCCATCCCCTTTACACCAAAATCCAAAGCTAAACCAAACCCACCCTCCACCAGACAGGAAACCTGGGCAAGCAGCACACAGTAGGGCCACCTTGAAGGATGGGTGACTGCTTCTAGGGGCTGAGCTTGCTTTGGAATGATAAGATGTTCCACAGTGAGTTGCGGCAATGGCTGCACAACCCAGCCAGTGTACTGAAGCCATCGGTGGTGAACGGAACATTGAAGACAGCAGCTGTAGCTGGTTACTACACACCTGGTTCACGGCTCCCGGGAGACCACTCCCCGAAGGTGCAACTCACTCTCGGCAGCCACAATGGGCAACCCGTTCTTCAGGTGGTAGTCTATGAGGTGGCTGATGCTCTCAAACAGCACGTCCTTCGTCCGCACCTGTGGGCAGAAACCTCAGCACCCATCCCTGACGGCATCCCATGGACCACCTGCTGGGTAAGCACTTGTGGAGCATAGGGCTCCACCTGAGAACCAGCCCCAAAACTCCAGAACCACAGGCCCAGTGTGATAAGGCACACCCATGAGCCTAGCGCTCAGAGAGACTGAGGCAGGAGGATTTTGAGTTTGAGGACCGCCTCGTAGACTCTGTCTCAAAACTAACAATAAAAAGTTGAAAAGCTGAGGAGTTTGGTCAGTAACGTGCCTGCTGCACAGCATGGAGACCCGAATCTGGAGCCCCAACTCTGTATGAAAGCTGTGTGCACCTGCTACCCCAGTGCTAAAAGAAGATCCAGCCCAAGGTGGGCCCCTTGGAGCCCGCTCACCAGCCAACCTAAATCTCTGAATTCCAGCTTCAGTGAGAGAACGTGCCTCAAGATAAAGGGAAAAACTGTATGCCCTTAATCCAACATTCAAGAGGGCAAAGACTAGCCTGGTCTACAAGCTCCAGGACAACCACTGCTGCACAGTGAGACCCTGCCTCAAGAAAGAGAGGAAGCCCCAAGAGGGAGATGTGTGCGCATGCACACAAGTAAGGAAGAAGAAGAGACAGAGCCCATGTGTCCGCAAGCCAAAGACGGCAGAGATTACCAACCACCCCCAGGCTCCGGCTAAGGGCTGGCACAGAGATCTCAGGACAAGTCCCGCCCTTTTCTAGGCTGTATCATTGGTGGTCACGTGCTTCAGATCCCCAGGAAACCAAGACACCCCAAAATCACACAAGGGTCCAGCTAGACTAGCAGTTCTCGGGGTGCAACGACCCTTTCACAGGGGTCAGATGTCAGATGTCCCGCCTATCACAACACTGGACAATTGACAATTATGAAGCCGCAATGAAACAGTTGTATGGCTGGGGTCACACAGCATGAGGAAGGTTGGGAATTACTAATCTAGACAGGAAAATCACTACAGCTTCCGTGGCTGAGAAGGCTCCAAGCCCAATCTTTCCTCAGCAGGATCCTAGAAAAGGCCTCTAAGTCCCCACGAAGTTAGAAGGACTCCCCAGCCTGGAGGGCTTCAGAAATGGCCATTTATGGGTTCTCACGGCACCAGCAATATCCTTGCCAGAGGAACAGAGAGGAAGAAACCCAAGGTCAGTCATGCTGCCGTTCAAGAGGCAGCATGTAGTTTAGAAAAATAAATAAATAGACGGACTGGAGAGATGGCTCCGCATTTGAGAGCACCGGCTGCTCCAGCAGAGGACCGGGATTTGAGTCACAGCAGCCACGTGGGCACTCATAACATTCATAACTCCAGTCCTCTGGGATACTCTTCTGGCCTTGGAGGATACTGCACACACACACCACACACACACACCACCACTACCACCAAACACACCACATATACACACACACCACATACACACACAACCACACACACACACCACCACCACCACCAAACACACCACATATACACACACACCACATACACACATAACACCACATACACACACACACTACACAATATAACACCACATACACACACCACATACACACACATAACACCACACACACCATATACACACACACGCAGGCAAAACACCCATAGACATAAAATAATAACAAATATGAAAAAAAAGAAAAAGGAACAAGAGCCAGGTGTGGTGGCACACACCTTAATCCCAGCACTCCGGGGCAGAGCTCTGAGTTCCAAAGTAGGCTGAAGTCTACAGAGGGAGCGTCAGTCAGACAGGGCTACACAGGGAGACTAAGCAGGAGCCAGAGCAGCTGATTCCAGCAAGGCTGACTTGGTAAACACTGCAGTGAGAAACCGTAACTGCCATCCTGCATGTGGAACAGCCACCCGGGCTGGGAGCTCGGAGAGGCTGGGGGTCAGAGGTGCTTCTGTGAACCCCAAAGTGCTTTTCAAAGTAGAAACCCCTTTGTTGGGACAAGGTTCTCACTCTGAAGTTCCAGGCTGGCCTGAAACTTACAGCAATCCTCCTGCCTCTGCCCCCAGTGCTGGGATGTCAGGCATAAGTCACACATCTGGATTCAACATTCTTTTTGATCAATCCCAGCACTCAGGAGGCAAAGGCACGTGAATCTCTGTAAATTTGAGGCCAACCTGGTCTACAGAATGAGTTCCAGGTCAGCCAGGGCTACACAGAAAATCCGTCTCAGAAGAAAAAAAAAAAATTAACTGAAAATGTTTTGTAGTTCTCTACAAACTGATGCCAATGAGCTTCGCCACAGTAAGGGATCCATTATCTAAAGAACGGCACCAACCCTGAAGTCGGCCCCTGCCCTCCCTCCTGCCCCAAGTGCCAGCTTACCACACCCTCGGGGTCCACCAGCAGCAGATGTTTGGGCTGCCCTGCGTGCATGCCTGTGAGGACATACTGCCCCGGGTTGGTGATGCTGTCTCTCACAAGGAAGTCCCCATCGGCACGAAGCAGCTTCTCCGCAGCCCGACGGCTCATGCGTCCATGGTACCAGGGCTCCTGCCTCAATTGCTCCTCTGTGGGTGCAATGGGGGCCCTGCGGGTAGGGGGACTGGGCCACTGGTCCTCCAGAGGGAACGGGGCTGCAGTGATGCCTGTTGCGACTGTGCACTCGTGCAACTTCAGGGCATCCTCAAAGGGTCCTGCGGGTCATTTTTTTCTATTGCTGGGACAGAACCCAAGCTCTCGGGCTTGCAAGGTAGGTGCAATCCAGGGTCACAACCCCAGCCCCTCCTCACTGGGGAATTCTAGGCGGGGTTCCACTCCCTGACCACGCCCCAGCTCCTCATTGGGGATTCTAGGCGGGGCTCCACCCTAACCACGCCCTCAGCCCCTCACTGGGGATTCTGGGCGGGGCTCCACCCTAACCATGTCCCCAGCCCCTCCCTGGGGATTCTAGGCAAGGACTTTACCCCTCGGTCAAATCCCCAGTCCTTGTTTTACTTCTTGACAGAGTCTCACCAAGTTGTCAAGGCTAGCCTCAAATTCTGTCTTTCCGTCTCATTCTCTTACTTAGCTGGAATGACAGGTGCTCAATTATAAGGCCAAACCTAGAACTTGACTCAACCTGGTGCTAGGCGCAGCCTCTACAACCCATCTGGGGGTTGTCAGCAAGGCTTACTGGTTCCACTCACAGCCAAAGCTGTTTTCATAAGAAGCTGAGGCACACAGCACTCCCTTCACTCCAGCCCTCTACCCCCATGGACGTCCCTCATTGCTGACCACATTATGGGTATGGCCAATGATTGGTAACAGCAAGTGGCCACACATCCCTACTTCTATGGAGCTGTCACCGCTGAGCCAAGTGACCTCTCCCAGTCTCAGGACCCTCCCGAAAAAGGGGGGCGACAAAAGGTGACACAGATTGGCACCCACATGCCTGATACAGGAGCTTCAGTAGGCCCCACTGACCAACCTACCAAGGGCTAACTGGGAGCCCACCTTCCCATGGAAGTCAGGTAAGCGGCTGTCACCTCTGCAGGGAGCTCACCCCAACCTGTTTTCCTGCTGAGGGGAGCCAAGAGACATGCTCTGTAACCAGTACCATGCACACAGCAGGCATCATGTGGGACCTCACGCCACAGTCACAATGATGAGCAGGAACACAACCGAGATGTCTTGGGAAATGGCTAAGTAAGTCCTTGCAGTGCCAACCAGAGGACCAAAGTTTGATTTCCAGCACCCATGTAAAAAGCTGGGAACAACAGTGTGTCCCGGTAACTCCAACACAGAGGAAATGGGGCCAGGAGGATCCCGGGGGCTCACTGGGCATCCAGTTTAGCCTAGTTAGTAAATCCCAGGCACTAGAGAACAAGGCGGTTAGTCAGCACTGAGCAATGCTAGCCAAGGTTGTCTTCTGGCATCTAAATGCTCACAGACACAAAGAAAAGATGGCAGTAATGGGAGATCACCTGCAATGATCTGGGGGAGGCTCTGAGAGAGTCAGCACCCCATAGTGCCCAGGGAACATCAGAATATGGAGTGCTACAAACCCTTCTGGGAGGAAAGATTAGCAGGGCCATCAGGCTGAGTCATCTTCCTGGGGTTTCCGAGGAGAGAGCTGGACCAGCTCTCCCACCCCCACGTGAGACCCTGAGTTGAGACTGAGACAGAGAGAGAGATCTCCTAGCCAAGTAGGTGGAAACTGACAGTCCCCGCTGACAGGAAGTCGGGGCTCTCCCCTCAGACTGTGAGTCTGTGGGCAGAGGCTGGGCTGCCCACAGAAGGGGCTTCAGCCTCACCCAGCAGACTAGCTTAGGTGTGGCACAGAAGTCTGTCCCTAGCTGACTGAGGCTCATAGTCTGGGACCTCTACCCTCTGGATTCCCAAGGACCGCCCCCATGCAATCCCAGGTCAGATGGGAAACAGGCCACGCACGCATGTCAAACAGGTCCTTCTTGGGGCTGTCCTCGGGCAGCAAAGGGGCCTCGAACATGTCCTCGGACTCCATAGCGTCCAGGCCCTGGGTGTTGACGTACAGGTGCTCCTCGTAGTCATGTGGCCCTCGAGCATCTGCCTGCACGTAGCCATCCCCAGGTGGGGCTGGAAAGGAGGGAGGGTGGCAGATGAGTCATGAGAGGACTTAGAGAGAGGGAGGCAGGAGTGGGCAGGGGTGCCACCTGTGTCACCCCACAAACGGAGGCTCCTCACACGAGTAAAGAGCCACACAGTGTTCCAGCTGGGGACAAAGGCTGGCCATACGTGCAAGATTGAGGCAGAGCCCAGTTATGCCACAGCCAGAGAATAGCTCTCTGGCCGAAGGGATGGTGGGGAGGGACTCCAAGCTCCAAAGAGCTAGATGCTCACACTGACCCTGTTTAGACAGTAATGACCGTGGCTATCCTGATCCTGCCACTACGTGACCCGCCACATGGTGGAGCTGTTACCACTCGCTGCTCCTATTCTACGGCTGGCAAATCCCTCCTCCTCTTTCGTGTGGAGGTTGAAGGTCAGTGTTGGTGTCTTCTCACTCACTACCCATCTTATTGTTTGAGACAAGGTCTCTAAACTAAAATGGTGGAAGGCCAATGAGCCCTCGGGATCCTCTAGTCTCTGTCCCCAGTGTTGGGACTCCAGACAGCGACCACCTCACTCAGCTTTTACCTGGGAGATAAGGATTAAATCTGAATTTTTGTGCTGTCTTTTGTCTTGTCTTCTTTGTATTTACCTGTAAGATGGATCTCAGTCTCCTGAAGGCTGTTCAACTTGCCTGCACCCACGCAGGGGTAGCAGGACACCCTATCCCCTCAGCCTCACCCCTCAGGGTCCCTGGGGGTCGTGCCAACCTCATGAACAGCCTGACATTCATTTCTCCCATCTGAGCTCAGCTGAGCAAATTTCTCAGAGTCCAAGGGTGGTTCCAGGCACTTCTCAGAACCCCAGGTAGGAAGTGGGGAATGGATGGTGTCAGCTGTGGCCAAGCCCTCCTCGAGGAGTGTGAACCCTGCCTGCATCAGCATGAGACAAGCTCTGCCCTCCAAGAACCCAGATACGGCTGTCACTTAGGTTCTAACACGGGAAGAGTAAGAACTTAATCATGAAATCAGAAGCTGGCAGGATGTATGTTCAAGGCCAGCTGAGGTGCAGAACGAGACCCTGTCTCACGTGGTTCTCTTCTGTCTTCGTTTCTGTCTCAAGGAAAAGCCTCGTTTTCGTGAGCAGGAGCTCAGGGTCATCCTCAGCTATAGAGTAAATTCAAGGCCAGCCTGGGCTACGTGAGATCCTGTCTCCAAAAATCATCATCATGATAATATGGCAGAGAGTGAGAGGGGCTGGCGAGACCTGGGAGCTGTATGGACACTACTGACGGCTCAGGTGGGTGCTGAGGGAGAGCGAGCCAAAGCCACAGCCCAGGTGGGAAGATTAATAAGACACCAGAGAGAAGTCACACTGCCTTGTATGAAGGGGGATTGTACTGTTGTGAAAATGATCAAGAGGTCTGTGGTGTGCAGGGATGGAAAGACCCCACAAGGATAAACACTTGGACAAGAGCCCAGTGTATCACCTATGAGTGAGCCCCCACTGGAGACACAGGAAGCACTTGAGTGTACACAGATGATTCTGGAAACCTCCAAAGTCATAGCCACCCATCAAACGATATGATGATGTCATATGCCTGCCTCGTCAGGGTACAGGAAGCAGACACAGGCTCACAGGAGAGCAGCGCCCCTGAAGCTCAGAAGTGTACGAAGCTGAGTGTACCCCCAAATGTGTGTGCCTCATTGTGTGAGGCAATAAAGATGGCAGATGGGGTAGATCAGGGAGAACACAACTGGGGGCACATTTACACAATAACAGACAGGTTTGTCGGGGATGGGACATTTCAGGGGACACCAGACACAGTAAGGTTAGCACCACCTACCTGTTCCGGAAGGACCCATGTCCCATGGCAAGCCCCGGGCATCTCTCCGTGCAGGTGACATTCCCTGCAAGAGAAGCATGGTGACCCTGGCATGTGCCAGGCCCTCTTCGCACTCACCCACCCCAAGGATAGCTCCGGGCCCCTCTGCCCCATAGGGGAGTGGAGACTCACCTGTCCAAGGCCTCCAAGTGTCGCCAGGGCACACGGCTGTGTGACAGCCAGTCTGGAGTCCACCAGCCCACCCAGGGGTGGTTCCTTCCCTGGAATGCTGTTATAGTAATTGTGGTCCATGGCCTCGTCGTTGTCACCCCAGGCCGACTCCTCCAGCCCTGTCAGCCTGGGGACCCAGAGCAAGGCTAGGACACTTGGTCCTCCCTTCCCAACCCCCACTGCCACCTAACACCCACACCTTCCCCACGTAGCACTGGTGAGATGGGAGGATTGCCACCCGAGCCGGCAGCTGTCGTACTACAGCCTGTGTGGGAACGCAGCAGGCAGCACCCCCATCTGCTATCGGATGAGGCTCCTCCCTCACGAGGACAAGGAGGCTGGTGCTGAAGATGGAGCAGCCACACAAGGGACTCCAGGCAAAGAGAAGGCAAAGGCAGCCAGCCCCTGGGCTCTTTTTACCTTTCGGGGGGCACTATGGCCTTGGGGGGACTGTGCAGGTATTGCTTGAAGCGCAGCTCGAAGGCTTGGCCTACAGTGCTGATGATGCTCTGAGCTAGACCCTCACAGCACTCCAAGATGTGGCAGGCTGTGGAGGTCACTTGTCAGCGCACCTGTGACCCCAGCACATCCCTGCCCCCGGCCCAGGTTCCCAAGCTCCGCTCAGCTCACCTCTCTGGTTGATGGGGTCCTTGGCCACATAGGCCACGTAATCAGTCATGTCCTGGAGAGACAGTGGGAGAGATCGGCAGGTTCAGCTCCCTGGAGGTGGGGTCCAGGGAAGGACACAGAGGTCCGCCTGTCCCTTCTTACCGTGTCTCCACCCGAAGCGAAGGAAATGGATTGCATATGATGGTTGGCAATGATCTGTGAGGACAGGAAAGCAGACATGGGCACACAGCCAGCTGGCAGGGAACAGGGGACATGGGATGGATGGAGGGATGTCCCTTTGACTGATGTCTACCATTGCTGAGGCCAAAGAGTCCCACCTGGACACCAGCCCCCATGAGGACTAGAACAGGACCTAAAGAGGGTACAGGAAGGCCAGGCCTTGGAGACACACGATTGTGTGCCCACCTGAGTGTAGAAATGGCAGCACCCTCACACACACACACACGCACATGCACACACGCCCCAAGCAGCCCATCCCAGGCTCTGGTCTCTGAAGATGAACCAGTTACATGTTCATTTCCGTTCATTTACACAACCCCACCCCATCTGTTCCCTGTCATTCGGGTTCCTAAAGTTGTATAGAGATTTGCTTTCCTCAGAATTAAAGCACTCCCTCCTGGAGGGAGGAGGGAAAGAGGAAGGAGTGGAGAGAAAGGAGGAAGGGAGGAGTGGGGAGGAGAGAGGAGTGGAGAAGAGGGAGGGAGGAAGGGGAAGAGGAGGGAGGAAGGGGAAGAGGAAGGAGGAGTGAAGAAGGGGGAGGAGTAGGGAGAAGAGAGGCTCCTAAGACTCGAAGGCCAAAACTGGGGTCTCAGTAGCCACATCTTCCCCAGGAACCAGGGCTCAGAATGAGATGAAACACGCCATGTCCCTCCCACCATCTGACTGAGGCTTCTGCTCCAGGCTCTGGTCCCCTGCCCACTGCCTTCATCGCTCCATCCCTAGGCCTGTGTCAGGAGTGGTCTCCCTTCTCCACCATATCAGCAGCATCTGTGGGAGCCTCCATGCTGCGGGCTCCCAGTCTTTGTGTGGGGCAGAGAAGCCTCCACTCACTATAACCAGTGGACTCTGGAGCTGGGGAACCTCAGAAGACACCACACCCACTACACTCCCAACTGGGCCCCAGCCCACAGGCATGTCTCTTTGGTACCACCTGCGTCTGATGGAAGGCCAGCCTTGTCCCATATCTGATGTGAGACACCCTCCTGCATGCAGCATGTGCCCGCGCCAGCACCAGCCAGGAGGGGTAGAGATGGAAGGAATGCTCACTGAGGGGCTACAGCAGGAACCAGTGTTGATAAGACTCAACCTGTGCCTGGCTAGCAGATAAAATTCCAGCTCAAGACTTCCTTGAATCTCAGCTCTACCAGGGCAAAATGAGAATTTGTGCCCACAGCTAAGAGGGCCAGGTCTGCCACAGACCTGATGACCTGGTTAGGGTTAGAGTTAAAGTTAGGGGTTGGGGAGCTTGCAATTGGGGCTAGTGTTAGAAGTACGGTTGAAACCAATCATGGTGACCCATGCCTTTATCCCAACACAGGCAAGTGGATCTCTGAGTTTGAGGCCAGGCAAGGCTATATGGTGAGATTTTGCCTCAAAACAAAGAAATGGGGTTGGGGTAGAGGTTGAAGCTAGAGTTAAGGTAATCAGAATTAAGAGTTGGGCTTGGGGTTCAGATGGTTACAGTTGGGGTCAAGGTCTTCCCACAGCCTGTCTGTTCACCACCATGAGTCCCTCAGCAGGGCCTGCCCATTCTGCCTCTCAGATTCTCCTAATTTCAGCACCCCCCCATGAGATCTAACTATGGCCCCTCTTGCCAGGACAACTTCTCAGCTGGCCCTACACTCCCCCCTCAGTTCCTGACAGGGTCTGCAACGCCATTGTCACCACTCTCAGGACAGACCCCAGACTCCTCCCCCAGGTTCATGCTGCCTGTACCATAGGAGAAGCCTCTCCTCAGGGGCCAGCCTAGAATCCCTCTCCTCCCACATCCCTCCGGGCACTCCAGCCCAGGCACCCTTCTAGACACCTGTGGACATAGCTGCCCTGCACCAAGGATCCTGGCTACTGGGGACTTCGTGCACACAGCAACCCCCACTTCCTGATTCCACCTCAGTGGACAGCAGATATTTCTGGACATCTTAAAGGTCTTGCAGATTATAGGAGAGGCCTGCTGGGTAGGTGTGGTTGAGGGCTTTGAAGTTGGGTGGCGGGTTTGTGGATGGGTGAAACAGAGGGCAAGGCCCAGGGGTTGGTTCGCCAGTGGTGGGGCAAGGGGCGCTGTGGACTGGGTTGAAAGTGGGCGTGGCACCGTGGGAGTGGTGGGCAGGCAGGATGCATTCAGGGGCAGGGCTAAGGGTGGGGATTTGGATAGAGCTAGATGCAGGGACTTAATTATAGGACTGAACTGAAAGGTGGTGGTGCACACCTTTGATCCCAGCACTCGGGAGGCAGAGGCAGGCAGAATTCTTGAGCTCAAGACCAGCCTGGTCTACAAAGGGAGTTTCAGGACAGCCAGGGCTACACAGAGTATAGGAAAATATAGGACTGAGAAGAAGGGTGCTGGGCTGTGGGGTGAAGGATATGGAGGTGTGGTTAGGGGGGGCAGATATCAGGACATGGACAGGGTAGAGATGGCAGGGTTGTAGGCTGGGCAAAGGCGGGGTTGTGGGCAGAGGGCAGTGGCTCCCACCTGGCGGGTAGCAGGAACAGACAGATTGAGGCCATCCACAGAGATGTTGATGGAGATGCTCATGCCAGCGAAACGCAGGTTGCTCTTCCCCAGGATGGAAGCCAGCGCCTTGTTTGGGGCCTGGGAGGAGGGTACAGTGAGCCACCTGAGTCGGATGCCTGGGACCAGAGGGGCTCTGGGTGGCCACAGTGTTCCTTCAGTCTCCCAAGACACACACCAGCTCTGCGGGGCCACAGGCCACACCCACCTTCTTCTTCCAGGAGCCGCGAACACCAGGCACAGCCTCATGGAGCCGGTTGATGGCTTCCCTGTAGGATGAGACCAAACTTAGAAACAGCAGGGATGAGGGCCAGGAGAGCAGCCAAGGGAAGCCAGGCGAGATGATCCCTTTGCTCAGGAGGCAGAGCCAGGAAGACAATGAGTTCAAGGCCCGCCTGAGAGGTGTTGCAAGTTAGAGGCTAGGCTGGCCTTCATAAGAATGGGTGGTACAAAAGACCAGGGGCAGAAATAGGACGCCAGGCTGATGGGAAGTGAAGGGTCCTAGGTACCAGGTGTCCAGAGTGGGTGAAGGTACACACAGCACGGTCCACCCACCCACGGAGAGGAGTGAGGGTGGACATACACCACAGCGTTGAAGGGATCGTGAGGACACTTTATGATCAGTGAGACAGGTGGTCTATCCCCTAGGGGTAAGCCTCAGAGAATGCCTCTAGAGGACTATCTCGATTGTGTGGAGGTGGGGAGAATGTCCACTGTGGGTGGCACCATCCGCTAGCCAGGGGATCCTGGACCGCATACAAGTGGACAAAGCAAGGTGCACATAAACATGAGTTTATTAATTCATCTCTCTCTGTTCCTTATATGAGTATGATCCCTCAAGAAGACTTAGCTTTTTATTTATTGTCTTATTACATATTTATTATGATGAGCAGAGGATGCACTGGAGGGCCTGAGTAGACCCTGTCTCCCTGCTGCACTGGAGGGCCTGAGTAGACCCTGTCTCCCTGCTGCACTGGAGGGCCTGAGTAGACCCTGTCTCCCTGCTGCACTGGAGGGCCTGAGTAGACCCTGTCTCCCTGCTGCACTGGAGGGCCTGAGTAGACCCTGTCTCCCTGCTGCACTGGAGGGCCTGAGTAGACCCTGTCTCCCTGCTGCACTGGAGGGGCTGAGTAGACCCTGTCTCCCTTGAACGAGCTGAATAGACCCTGTTCTTGTCAGGACTTTGTCACAGTGACACCAAGGGAGACAGAGACATGTGGCCACAGTGGGCTCCATGCTCAGAAATGCCCAGAGACAGGAAGGGGATTCATAGGTGCTGGGTGGGTTAGGGGATGGGATAAATGCTCAGGAGAACAGGGCTTCTTCTTAGGGTGTTGGAATGTTCTGGAACTGGCTATAAAACACTATGCAGAGATATTTTAAAGCAATGAACTGCAGTTGACAGGGCGGGTTGCTGGGGCAATAAATCCTATCTATTGTTCTTGTTTGTTTCTTGAGACAGTCTCATTCTGTAGCCTAGGCTAGCCTGGTCAGTCCCACTCTGTAGCCAAGGCTAGGCCGGTGATGGCCAACCTCCTGACTCTGTCTTCTGACTGCTGGAACTCCAGGTGTGAGCTCCCACACCTAGTTTTGTGTCTTGGTGTTTAAGTTCACAGCAAATGGAATAAGCAAAGGCCTTCCCGTCACCCTCCTGAAGTCACACCCCAGGGTACGGCAGGCTGAGGGAAAATGGAAGCAGGGGAGTGTCCATGACAGCCATGCACAACAACCAGGGATGGAGCTGAGACACAAAGCTGAAGCAGGGCTGGTGCTGGGCTCAGTCTACCTGCTGTCAGGGGTGCCCAGCGGGTCACCCCCAACCCACCATGCCACCCTCGAGAGGCCAACTGTGACCCGAGCCCCCAGCCTACTCCAAGGCCTCACCTCGTCACCTGCGTTCGGGTGTTGAAATCCAGAGAGCGCATGGACCGGAGCACCTCAATACAGCCCATGTACTGGGGAGAGAGAGTGGTCAGTCAGCAGGTGAGCCAGCCCAGGAACTGGATCGCTGCTGAGAACTTAATTTTCTTTCCAGCTTCCCAGAGCTCTCCTCCCTCCCTGACATCTACAGCCACCTTCCCAGGACTCTGTGCCTGATGTCCCGGATCCACCCTCCTCCCTCACCTACCATCGAGTCCCACCCAGCTCGGAACCCAATCTCAGGCGGGATGGAGGCACGTGCGTTTATCGAGTCCAGTCACCACCCACAGACAAGATCCAGACAGGAACCATCAGCCAACCACCGTCCACAGTTGGTAGAGCCCTCACCCAGCATGCATTAGGCCCTGGGCGCTGGCCCAAGCACCCCATGAATGCGGTGTGGTGGTGCACACCCGACCACAATGCACGAGGCAGTGGTCAGGAGTTAAAAGCCATCTTCAGCTAGATAGGGAGTTCGTTCTTTGTTTTGTTTTTCAAGACAGGGTTTCTCTGCATGGCCCTGGCTGTCACAGAACTAAACTCTGTAGACCAGGCTGGCCTCAAACTCAGAGATCCGCCTATCCCTGCCTCCTAAGTGTTGGGATTAAAGACGTGCATCACCACAGCCCAGCTACACAGGAAGCCTGAGGCCAACTTGGGATATAAAGACCAGGTCTCAAAAGAAGAAACTTTGTAGGCCTCTATTTGACAAACGTCTCCGTGGAAAGGGACACCTTCCGCGCATCCACCACCTGGCTTCCCCTCTGGAAGTGAAGCCAGCATGGGGGCACTTAGGAGGCTGAAGCAGGAAGATCAGAAGTTTGAGGTTACCCTGAGCTACATAGGAGAACTGTGTCAATGGAAGGGAAGGAATCTAGCGAGAAGAGGAAGTGACCAGAAATTACTGCCACTCCCTTCCAATCCCATCTTGGCGGCCATAGCATAGCCCCATTCACAGGCTGTGTGTGTGGGTTTGTGCATGTAACGTTTCAGGGTACCAGATGCCCTGGAGCTGAAGCTGGGGCTCCTGGGAGCCACCCAGCTGTGGGAACTAGGAAGAAGGGCTCTTAACTCAACCAGGCGGGTCCCCAGCCTGTCGTGATTTAGGCTTTGTTAGTTAATTCTGGAGTAGTGCTTGGTGCAGAGGCTAGCCCCGAACCTCTGGGTCTGAGATGTTCTGCAGCTTCCCCACCCTCCGAGTGCTGGACCGATGTCCATGCACCACCACACCCAGCTTATTTTGTAATTTTGCTGTTTGAGGGGCAGGGGCTCTTGTAGCCCAGGCTGGCCTCAAATTCACTATATAAAGTATGACCTTATACCTCCAGCCTCCACCTTCCAACTGCTGGGATTGCAGCCACGTGCCATCACCAGCTCTCGATTAAAATAAAATAAAATAAAATAGATCAATGTATACATGCTTTCACCTCATGACTCCAATTCTAGAATTTTACCCCACAGCCCATCAGCACTGTGCCATGTGGCAGATTTCCCATGGGTGGGAAGAGACAGCTGAGGCACCCACCATCCCATCCCTCCCACTCGTAACTACTGCCTCAGTTTCTTCTACGGGGTCCCAGCCCTGAAGGTACTCCCAGCGGAGGGAGCAGACTTTCCCGCAGACATAGGGGGCAGGGTGATCCGTGCTGGCTGAATTCACTCTCAGCAAATAAACAGCTTTGAAGCCCCAGGAGCTACCCGTGCATGACATGCGGACATGAGATCTGCCCATGCTCTCTGGAAGTTTATATTAAGTCGGCTGCCACTGCGTTGGAGAAGCTGAACAAACACGGCGCAGTGGTAAAAGTGAGGCAGGTTATTTTTGTGAATTTATATGACATTTCCAAATTCTGCTGCTGGTGGGAAGGGGGAGTCATCATGAGAACATTCGTGTGACTCAACATGAAGGAGCACAGAGGGCACTCACAGGTGTGTGGACTCGGCCGCCAGGAGTGCCTCCAAACAGAGGACAGGAAGACACTGACACTCTAAAGTGCAGTAATTCACTCCTCGTAGACCATGTGATTTTTCCAGTATGATATCAGCAAAAGGAACAGGGTTTCAGAAGTACAGGGACATTGGATGCATCCCTAGCAGTTATCTAAGGTGATATGACTGTCCAAGATGCAAGGAGCAACGAAGTGACCTGCATCCCAGCCAGGCTGCTCACATGCAAAAAGGGGTACAAAGAGGGCACTCAGGACCTGCCCAGGAAGGAGACTCTGAGCTCACATCTTCTGGACCACGGGGCAATGACCAAGAGAAGGGAGCAGTACGAAAGGACCCAGGCAAATGGAGCAGCATTGCCAGGCCAGAAGTGGGTTAGAGACCAAGTGGAAGAGACAAGAGATGAAGGCCGGGAAGCCAAGGCCACAGGACCCTGCTGTGATGATGTTACAGGGTTCATGCACTCTGAGGTGAAGAGGTACGGGGGAGCTACAAACAGGAATGAGCTGAGGACCTCACCTATGAGATGAATGGATGGTCAGAAGGGGGATGAGAGGGAAGATGGGTGGAGTGGATGGGTGGGTGGATGTATGGGTGGGTGGAGTGGGTGGGTGGATGGATGGATGGGTAGATGGGTGGATGGGTGGGTGGATGGGTGGGTGGATGGGTGGATGGGTGGATGGATGGATCTATAGGTAAATGTTGTGAGGTATGCTCTTGTACACTCTAAAAATTTGTCACTTGTTTTGGTTTAATAAAATGCTGACTGGCCAGTAGTCAGGCAGGAAGAATAGGCAGGGAAACCAGACTAGGAAAATTCTGGGAAAGACAGAGATGCATTCATTATCCAGAAGCAGAGAAAGCAAGATGAGAAAAGGTACCAAGCCACATGGCTAAACATAGAAAAGAATTATGGGTGAATCTAAGTCAAAGACCTAGTTCGTAACAAGCCTGAGCAATAGGTCAAACAGTTTATAATCAATATAAGCCTCTGTGTTTAACTGGGACTCAATGGTCGTGGAACTGAATGGGACAAAAACTTCCATCTACAGGTAGGTGGATGGGTGGATGGGTGGGTGGGTGGGTGGGCAGAGGAGTGGGAGATTAGATAAGTTATGAATGGATGACTGTTGGGTGGGTAAGTGGGTGGGTGAGCAGATGGCCGATGGTGAGTTTGTCAGTTCCTGGATAGAGAAGAGTAACAGATAAACAGACAATGTGGACTCCCTATCAGGCGTATCTCACTACAAGTGTATCAGAGAGCATCACCCAGGCCCCCTGCTTTGGAAGGACCCAGTTGCTCCCACATCTGCCAGTGTCACTGCCCCAGGGGGGCCGGGGGTGCTGATGGCTCATAAGTAAAGTACTTGCCACATGCCGGGCGGTGGTGGCGCACGCCTTTAATCCCAGCACTCGGGAGGCAGAGGCAGGCGGATCTCTGTGAGTTCGAGACCAGCCTGGTCTACAAGAGCTAGTTCCAGGACAGGCTCCAAAACCACAGAGAAACCCTGACTCGAAAAACCAAAAAAAAAAAAAAAAAAAAAAAGTACTTGCCACACAAGCATGAGGACCTGAGTTCACAACCCCAGCACCCACATAAAAAATGGGGCATCAGGATACACACTGATAACTCCACTGTATACACTGGTGCACTGATAACCCCACTGTATACACTGTATACACTGACACACTGATAACCCCACTGTATACACTGACACACTGATAACCCCACTGTATACACTGTATACACTGATAACCCCACTGTATACACTGTATACACTGATAACCCCACTGTATACACTGACACACTGATAACCCCACTGTATACACTGTATACACTGATAACCCCACTGTATACACTGACACACTGATAACCCCACTGTATACACTGATAACCCCACTGTATACACTGTATACACTGATAACCCCACTGTATACACTGTATGCACTGACACACTGATAACCCCACTGTATACACTGTATACACTGACGCACTGATAACTACACTGTAGGAGACAGAGAGAGATGCAGAATTTCTGGGACTTGCTTGCTGGCCAACCTCGTCCAATTGGTGAGCTATGGGCCAGTGAGAGTACATACGCATATGTGCATAACACACACACACACACACACACACACGTGCACTAAGGGGAGGAGGGCTGTGCTACACGGGATCGAGTAAGCAACCATCAGCTGCCATGCCTCAGGACACAAATGTACAAGGGTCCCAGTCAGTGTGGTTCTGAAGTCATGTGGCCCTGTTCTGGTGGGTCAGTCGGGAAAAGCACCACAAACGTGGCCCACAGACACCAGGAGAGGAGCTAGCCAAGGACAGTCAAGACCCTGAGGATGAATAGGTCCCCAGAAACAGACTGACGATTCCCACAAGGATAGTGCTTTCAATACTTCTATCCACATTCTAGATGCCAAAGACTAGGACTCAGGTCTGCTAGGGCCTACTTGGGGCCAAGCTGCCTACAGTGGGCCCTTCCTGCCTCTCCCAGGCTTCTGCGTGACCACGGTCCTCTGAAGCCTTTGATTGGCAGATACGGTGCTCACTCTGCCTGACCTGTCACAGCCTCCTTCCCCATGTCTTCCCGTGGTTTTCTGAGGACAGCAGTGACCAGATGTAGGACCTGGCCTTCCTAGTCCAAGCCCATCCCCACTGCATCTCCTATCTGCAGAGATGCTGTACCCCAAAACAGCTGCATTCTGGGGTACCTGGTGGGCATGAATCTGGAGGGGCACCTTTACCCAGCTGCTCACAACCTGGGTTCATGACGAAGCTGCTGGGCTAGCCAATGCAAGCTGTTCACCCAGAGTCTCTCTCTTCTGACACACTCCTCCAGGTTTGAGCCGCTGAACCAGGCTGGCAGTGGCCAGGACACTGGCATCTCCACTCCTGGGAAAGACTCAAATGGCTTTCTGCTTCACTGGGTTCTGCAGCTCAGAAAACATCACAGTGTGGTGACACTGGTCCCCAGATGAATCTAGATAGCCAGGGTTTGACCTGAACTCATCTGCAGGTCCCTTCATTCATAGGTTATAGTCACAGGGTCCCAATGTGGGGGGGGGCACGCCTTTCTGTCCTGTCCATTTCTAACATGGACACCATTCTGCATAACCCGCAGTCACCTAGATCCACATCACTGTCAGCTCACCCCACACCTTCCAGGTCCCCCTTCAATCCCTGTACCCCTCTGTGCCCCATGACACTGTTCTGACAATACCCTGAAATGATCCTTTGGAAACCCCAGGCTCCATCTTACCAAGGTCTTCCACTGCAATCGGAGACTGCTCTTTTGTTCCAGCCACCCACACCCAAACAATCACACAAAAACATATTACAACACTCTCTGACCTATTAGCTCAGGCTTCTTATTTACTAACTCTTACATCTTAAATTAACCCATTTCTGTTCATCTGTGTATCGCCACGAGGCTGTGGCTTACAGGGTAAAGTTCTGTCCTGCCGTCTCCTCCAACTCCATCTCCTCTCTCTTCCAGCCTGGCTCTATTCTGCTAAGCCACTGGCCGAAACAGCTTTATTTATCAACCAATAAAGGCAACACACATACATCATTCCATTGTTCCTAGAAAATTCCAGATCTGCCCCCCTGCACAGAGCCTTTGCGCTGGCTGTGTCCTGCCAGAAACGTCTCCTGTGTTGTTTTCTGCCGGAGGTTTCCACAAGTTCAAGTCTCAGCACTTGAGACATGTGTTCCAAAGCACTGCGACCAGAGAAGCTACAACTCCCATGGACATCACAGTTTTACCACCCCTGCCCCATCAGGACCTTCAGTCTTCCCATGGGCAGTCTTCTTGTGTATTTATTATCTACTTCTCCTATGCAATCAAAGACCTGGCAGATGGAGATCAGAGATTTCCCTTGTCCTCTGCAATGTCACTACTCCATAAGGGCTGATCTAAATACCACACTGCTTTCACCCCAACATTTGGAGCCCCAACAATGACAGTATGTGAACTCTCAACATGTATCCACCAGACAGGACAGGCTGGAGGAACTGGGTGAGAGGCAGCTGAAGGCAGCATTGATGGGACGCTTTCTCACAGTGACACCAGAATAGTTGAACATCAAACCATGTGGACACAGGAGAGAGGAGACTGCGGGGAGGGACCCAGTGCCACAGCCAGCAGCAGGCACACACCCAGAGGACTCAGTGTCAAGGCCAAAGGGCAGGAGGGTTATCACTTAGTACGGCTGGAGAGGGACAGAACACAAGGGGAGTGCATTAGCACTCCATTCTGAAGGCTGGTCTGTGCAGCATCTGGGGGTCCAGGAATCTCCACTGGCCCTTGGGTTGAGACTTAGCTCTTGTTCTAGCCTCAAACTCCTCTCTAAGCTGTTCAGTTTTCTTACAACAGGGTCTCAAACAGCCTAGGCTAGCCTCAAACTTACCATCCAGGCAAGGATAACCTTGAATTCCTGCTCCCACTGCCCCCACTTTCCAAGTACTAGAATGACAGGTGTGAGCCACCTTGTGTCTTGGCTTGACTTTGTGTCTCAGTCAGTGCCTGAGGACCCACCCTGCTCCGGGGAAACCGCCCCTGGATCCACAACACCTACAACAAACATACTTCCTTCTTTGAGTCTTTCCTTTCTGTGTGCTTAAGCATTTTGAGACAGAACTGGAACTCACTATGTAGACCAGGCTGGCCTTGGACTCACAGCTTCCCCAGTGCAGGGATTAAAGGTATACACCACCATGCCCACCTTCTTTTTCTTTGGCTGTGTAGCCCAGGCTGGCCTACAACCATCAGCAATCCTCCTGCTGCAGCTTCCTGAATGCTGGGATTACAGGTGTGCCCCACCAGTCACAGCTGAAGTCACCTCTAAAACAGGTCCTAGTTGCAGATCCCCAAGGCATAAATATTGGAGGACTCAACCCAGTTCACACAGAAGGAAGTGACACTGTGGACCACGGTGGGGAAAACAGGACACCCGCTCAGCATCCTGGTCCAGGACAGCCAACAAACGGCATTCTGGGATCATTTGTCATCTCATAAACTGTGGTGGGCATGACACCGGACTAGGGTGCCTATAGTGAGCGTCACACACCAGCTTACTTTCAAGTGGTTGATAAAACTGCACACACAGGAGTTGAGGCTTAGAGTGAAGATAAAATGTCTGTGGTGACAGGTGGGCACGTGGGAGACCATCCCCCACACCGCATCCCTTGCAAAGGTCACAATAAAAACCTGGTGGAGGGGCGACTGGGGCTGGCGCTCAGTGTATACAGACCTCGCCTGGCATAAAGAAGACTCTGAGTTCCATCCCCAGCACCATACAGATGGGGCGTGGGGGTGCGTGACTGTCACCACAACATTTGCCAAGTAGAAGCAAGGGGCTACATAGTGACTTCCGGGTCAGCCCGAGCTACAAGAGACCCTGTTTCAAAAACAAAACAAAGACTAAAGCTCCGGGAGTGGCGACACACATGCAACATCCCAATATTAGGGAAGCTGATGAGGCCGGCTGGTAGCTGGCAGTCGGTGCTCGAATCCCCTCCTCAAATCCCTGTTTCCTCCCACCCCTGCCAAAATAAAAGGGATAAACAGCCAGGTCCATTAGCTTCATAAGTAGAACCCCGAGCACCGAGCTTAGCTTCCACGCTCCATCCAAAGTCTTTGCATGTCCCCACTACATCGCTGCAAAGTCGCTTTCCCTGAGACTCCGAGAGTGAGAGGGTACTGCGTTCGCTCCCTGCACCTCACCTAAGGACTCTCTCACCCAACAGCAAAGGGGGGATAGCCTGCGCATGCGTGTGTTTCCTCCCCACCTGCGCTCTCTCCCCGCCCCTCCCCACGTGATGCCGTGGGAACCCGGACCCCAGAGCCTGCGGGTGGGGGCGGCCAAGAAGCGCGCACCGGAGACGGGGTTACATGGTAGTGGGGAAGAGCTCACTTGGCTCTCTTTGAGATACGGGACCAAACTGGAGGGGTCCCCGAACCCGACGTGCCGGGAAGGAGGCTGGGCGCACTCACCCGCACGATGTAAGAGACCCCGGGCCCCAGGACCCTGGCGTCGGGGTGCAGCCAGCCGTGAGCCGGCTTGTGGATGAAGCCGCCCTTGCGTGCCCACTCATCGGCGACGTCTGGGGTCCCCCGTGTGCACCGCGTTCCCGAACCGCGGCAGCGGCCGAGCGCGGGCAGCGGGCAGGGCGCGGCGCAGCGCGGTTCGCAGGCGCCCAGCACGGCGGTCAGCGCGGGGACCCCTGGCTCGGGCTGCGCCTCGGCCGCTCCCGCCGCGCGCGCCGCCGCCGCCGGACCGCGACCCAGGAAGCCGCCGGGTGCCGCGAACTTCCACTGCGGCATGCGCGGCAACAGCGCGCAGAAGGTGGTGGGCGCCTCGGGCTCGGGGGCCGCGCGGCCACCCGGACCCTGCGTCATGGCCGCGGCCGCCGAGGAGCCCCGGCTGAGCCTGGCACGGAGCCGCGCGCTCCTCCCCGCCTGGTGATGTCACCGCTTCGCGCAGCGCGCAGCCGCGGGGGGCTGCGCTCCTAGGACCCCAGCCCTTCGCTGGCGGCACCCATTCGACCTGCCTGCCGGGGCTCCCGGAGGGGCTGTCCAGTCACGCTCTGACCGGTGGGGAAACTGAGACTAGTGTCTGCAGATGCGAGGTGGGGCGCGATCCTCCAACCTCGAAGTGCCCCTTCGCCCCTGCTCCAGCACCATTCTACCCTTCGTCTGAAAGGAGAAACTGAGGTCTGGGGTCGCGGGTGCAGGGCGTCATCCATCCTCCAACCCCGAGGTGCCCGTCACCACCGTTCCAACAACATTATGCTTTTCTTCTAAGTTGGGAAACTGAGGCCTGGCTTTGTAGAGGCATCCTCCTCCCTTCCCTAAGTGACCCCTAAGCCACTGTTCCAGCCGGACCGTGCTTTCTTTCCTGAGTAGGGAAACTGAAGCCAGAGCAGTGGGAAAACTAAGGGCTAGGGTAGGGAGAAGGTAGCAGAGGCAGGATGTGAGGGTCTCAGTCGCCGACACTTCCAGCCATATCCTGACTAACTACTTCAAAATAGGGCCTGGGCCAGCGCAGAGGCTGGGGTCCAGAACTCCAACTCAGAGGTGTCCCCTTCCCCTGTTTTGCTATTTAGTGGATAAATTGAAGCCTGGGGCGGGGACAAGGTTTAAAGGGAAACTGACGGCTGAAAGTGAATCAAGTGCCCCGGACAGCGCAGTCGCAGGCGGGGCTGCGGCTGGAAGGGTCTGAGAGTAAACACAGGCCGCCTCTGCGTACTCCTGGCCTGTTGCCATGGCTGTAAGCCAAGGACTCCCTTTGGTTCTTGGGGTTATTAGAACCCGAATATCAGAACTCTCAGGCCCGCCACCAGTCTCACCCCAGGCTCAAGGGACCTCTGAGATGCCTCCCTCAGACCCCAAGAGGATTCCTTCTGTGAGGGAAAGGGGTTGGCATCACCACCCTACCTCTGTCTACCCCACCCCACCCACACACCCACGACAGTCCTGCCCGGAAACAAAGGGAAGAGAGATGGGCGGGGCAGGGTGTGGAGGAGGGGCAAGGCCAGCCAGATCGATGAGGAGAGAAGCTAGATCACTGCGTGCGCTTGCGAAGGGGGCTGGCGTGCGCACGCTCGCGCCCGCCCAGACGCTTAGCAACATCAACAAAGACACACCACTGAGCCCTTGGTGCTCTCGGCTGGAGGAAGACTGGCTGGGCTGAGGTCTGCGAAAGAGGCTGTGGGATCTGGCTGTGTCGAGTGTAGATCTCGGCATTCCGGATTTGGGTGCCATCTATCCTGTGTCCTCTCCATTGTAAAGAGGGTTGGTTCTACTCTTTAACCTGCTGTACGACAGTAAATCATACTGCAATAGTTTAAACTCCTACACACCCTTCAAAGCCCAGCTTCACAGAACCCCTCCCCAAGAACCTAGTAGGTCCCACAATCCAAATCCAGGCTCTAACTCTGGCCTCCTGGTGCCAAGGTCTCCCATTTGCCCCATCTGGACCGCAAGAGGTTTGTAGAGTTGTGGATCTGGAGGGCAATGTTTGTGTTCTTTTGTGGTCAAAAGTAAACCAAAGTGCAAGCCGGGTAGAGCATGCCTTTAATCCCAGCACTCGGGAAGCAGAGACAGACTGAGTTTGAGCCCAGTCTAGTCCAGAAGAGCTAGGTCCAGGACAGGCTCCAAAGCTACAGAGAAGCCCTGTCTCAAATAAATAAACAAACAAACAAACAAACCAATGTGCACAATGCTGACAGCCGTTGGAGGAACAATTTATTGGCAACTCTAGAGGGTGGGATAGGTAGGGCAGAGGTATCAGGGTCACCTCCAGGAGAATTCTCCTGCCTCATCTGCAGAAACCCAAGTGGCCTAGATGCTGAATTCTAGGACACACAGCCCCTTGTCCTGCCAAGGGAAGGGATACTTCTCCCTGGGCTGGCTTGACCTAGGAAAAGAAACTGGGGCTCTGGAAGAAGACTCACCCTGACCCCGGATGGGGCCTTGGGTCACTGGCCCCAGGGACAGAAAGATCAAGTGGCCCCTAAGGACCTCAGACTGCCAGAAGGGTGGCATCTCCTCTGCCCAGGGAAACTGTACCCAGCAGCCATCAGCATTTGGTGTTCCCTGCCACTGTAGATACCTGCTTTGAGTGACGGAATCCCATGGAGTATGCTGGGGCCCGGGCCCGGTTCACGGTGACCTGCTCTGGGTTGTGAGTACCAGGACCAGGTGTCTCCTCCAGGGGCCGAGGGGCTTGGGGTCTCCCCAGTATGCTGAAGGCCGGCCTACGCTGTCGGTAGGTGTTGGGGTCAGGAGTCTCATACTGCCCAGGGCCTGGAATCTCTGAGGGATCCTGAGCAGGGCGTGCTGGGGGCCTGCGGCCCACAACTGTGAAGCTGGGGCTACTAGGTTTAATAAAGATCTGCGATCCCCAGAGGGATGGCATGCTGTAGGCATTGGGGGCAGGAAAAGAGGCGTCTGGGAGCTTCTGTCGGAGGCGGGAGCCCAGAGTGAAAGCTGGGGGGTTCCGCTGGCGAACCGGGGGAGCCTTCTCTGGGCTGTAGGCCCCAGGGCCTGGTGTCACCTCCAGACCTGGGGAGTGAAGGAGCATTCGCACAAGATGGAGGCCTCACCGGACCTGCATCAGACATCACGAAGACCCAGAGTCTAGCCCAAGCAAATTCTTCACACATGCATTCTGTGCCTGATACTCCTGGTCGGAGCCAGCAGAGGCTCCAACTTCCACCCCAGAGCCCAGACATCTGCCTCCTGCTTCCCACGCCCACCAGGTGGTACCTTCCACCCCTCCAAGGCCCCATGATCACCCGGATTGTCCTCCTTGAAGATCTGGGCATCCTGAGATGGAGCTCTAGGTGGTCTGAGTCTACCAGGAAGTTCACTAAAGATGTCTCAGCATTAGTGTGACTAAAGAGCTGGAGCGGGGCCGTGAGTAAAGGCTGAGCAGAGCAATGGAGCACAGGGAGATGGATGAGTGGGTAGGCAGGAAGATGGGATGGGCAGAAGAGTGGGTGGTGGATGGGTGGATGGATGGGTGGGTGGGTAGGTGGATGGGTGGGTGGGTGGATGGGTGGATGGATGGATGGGTGGGTGGATGGGTGGGTGGATGGATGGGTGGGTGGGTGGGTGGATGGAGGGGTGGATGGAGGGGTGGATGGAGGGGTGGATGGAGGGGTGGATGGATGGGTGGGTGGGTGGATGGGTGGGTGGGTGGGTGGGTGGATGGGTGTATGGATGGGTGGGTGGGTGGATGGATGGGTGGGTGGGTGGATGGATGGATGGATGGATGGATGGATAGGTATATGGATGGGTGGGTGGGTGGATGGATGGGTGGGTGGATGGATGGACGGATGGATGGATGCATAGACGTAGAATGGATAGATGGGTGGGTATATGAATTGCTGGGTAGATAGATGGTGAATGGGTAGATTGGTGGATGTGTGGATGGATGGACGGGTGGATAGGTGGGTGGGTAGGTGGGTGGGTGGGTGGATGGGTGCGTTGGTGGAGGGTGGTTGGATGGATGCATAGGTGGGTATATGAATGACTGGGTAGATGCATGGATGGACTGATAACATGCAGAGAATAAAATCAAGTGTTTGAGCATTCCTCTGGGACCATGAAGGGGCTTTAAAAAAAGGGCCCCTAGGCAGCAGAGTCACCATGTGTTGTCACCCCAGCTCAAGGCTGCGGGACTGGAGTAGTTAGCCTTCCTGAAACTCAGATTGTATCGCTGCGAACACTGAAGTGCAGGAAGAGGACAGCCTCCCAGACTGTAAAAGGCCACTTCCCACCACACACATTGTACTCACCTCGAATCTTGCCCCGGCCCTGCATGGAGTAGGCAGGGGGACAGCTACGGCCAAAGCGAGTAACTCTGGGGTCCAAGAAATACACGGGTCCTGGGCTGGAACCCTGAAGAGGTGCTGGGGAAAGGCCCCGAAAGCGTAAAGGTGCCGTGAGCTCAGGGCTCCCCACACCTGGCCCAGAGCCGCCCAAGTGCCGACCTGGGAAGGACTGACTCCCCTGAAAGGGGTCTAGGAGAGGGACTGTGTGGGGCACGCCAATCCCATCAGGGCCTTGGCTCACGCCGAGTCACCTGGAGTCACCCTTGAAATGGCTCGGCTTGCCTGACCCACATTTTCACATCAGTGTAGAAGGAAGAGATCACAAAGGCTACAGTTGGTTACCATTTTTACAGTTGTATATGTGGGAATGGAACCTAGGCCGTCATAAATGGTAGTCTTGAGCTTCCCCCTCAGCCACACCACTGGATTCTAGGCCGGGCTCCACCCTGACCACGCCCCCAGTCCCTCACTGGGGATTCTAGGTGTGGCTTCACCCTGGCCATGCCCCCAACCCCTCACTGGGGATTCTAGGCGGGACTCCACCCTGACCACGCCCCCAGTCCCTCACTGGGGGAATTCTAGGCGGGGCTCCACCCTGACCACGCCCCCAGCTCCTCACTGGGAGATTCTAGGCAGGGGCTCCATTCTTTTTCCCTTAAACTCTTGATCCTCCTGCCTCAGTTTTTGAGTTGTCAAAAACGACAATTCTGTAGCATCATGCTTGGCCTGGTCACTGGTTGCTGGACTTTAGACACTCCATGCCGGGCCCACAGGTGAGGGCTAAGCTTCACCAAGTCTTTCTCAAAGCCTCAGCGAGTCCCAGGATGTGCGTAGGTACCACGCAGGTGTGGGCTTCTGTGCACGCCCACACCGGCAGTGTTTGCACACACACAGTCTCCCTACTAACCCTATGGTGGTCACTAATGTTAAAGAATGGGCTCAGAAACAACCTACGCCTGTGCGCCTAACAGCTCTTCCCTAGCTCAGAGCTAATCTAAATGACTCCCAGGATAGGAGGAATGTGGTTGCAGCCACCAATATGTGCTGGGCCACACACAGGAAGATGCCTGTCCCTCGTCACCTCAGCCAGCCTGTGGCAAGCAGAACTGTTGGTGCTCAGCCCCTGCTCAGCACGGGCAAACCTGCTTTCCATCTCCTATC